TATAAATAAAGTTAACACATACTTAAAATAATCTCTATTAGTAAATGAGTACAATTAAAAAAAATCTCAAACCTCGCCAGAAATAATACTTGTTTAGTAAATATACTCAATTTGAAATCTCAAAATTTAATACGAATGTTTTTCTACCATTGCCTTAAAAGTCTATATTAAAAATATATATTATTAGTGTGTCTCTAGTGTAAACGTAAAATAATAAACACATATTTGACCAAAACCCATAAAACTTTCGTTATAGGGTTTGTTAAAAACAACAGGTTAGATTTAATTTCTCCATATAATGTTACTGGTAAACCCAGAAAATACACTCAAACTTTTTCACTAATTGACGGCTTTTATTTGACACGTAGTTTGAAGTTACGTGATGCTTATGTTTATATTACTATAACTACAGTATACGAGGTGTGGCTAATAAATAACGAGGCTCGTTGTTGTTAAATTTCACATAAAACTTAAAAAAACCACTAAGGAAACATCTAATTTATTGAAAAAAGTATATGACAATGAGTATTTAAGGCGTAAACGACTTCTTGGACGTTTTTAGGGTGACCAAGAAAACTTGGAAGATACCCGGGTTATCCTTCTAGATCAAAAACGAGTGTAGATATCGAAAAATTAGTGATCTGGTTGGATTTGACCGTGAGTTAAGTATTCGTGTGGATATTGGCACTCCAGAAATTGACAATTTAAACATACAAAAGGTGTGTACAAATTCCGCTTTGCCTGTGAAGAGGTTCTAGCTATTATAGGATTCCAGTGATTTCACCCTATTTGCTGGACTTTGCTGGGCAGCTTTTGTCTGTTTCCTAAAGTGGAATCTGAATTAACAGAAACAAGCATTTAACTTCGATGAAGCCGTGGAGGAGAAAACGGAACGCATCCTGAAGGATCTGACAGAAAACTTCCACACAGTTTTGAACAACGAAGATTGGCATGGAGTATCGTAGGGATAGAGGTAGGGTGTATATTAAAGGTAATAATAGTTAAATATGATTGAATCATGATAAAATATTTTACAGCATCTTGCTTCTTTAGCAGTTTCCTCTTTTACTCATATTTAATCAAGCGTTGGTGGCTCAAATTGTCGGAAGAATGATAACAATGTGATCATCGCACAATAAAAACAAGATCTAGAAAGAAATAAATGAAAAATTCCGAGAAATACGTATTAATCTATCAGATTTGGATAAAATATGCATAAAACACAACGGAAAAGAAGTAATAAAATATGCTCACCCATAAACCTTCCCATTCAATCAATTTCACGAATTTCCTTGTGATTTTTAAATAACAGCACCATCGTTGAAGATTGATAACGTCAGGACTTCAAAATATTCATTTATCGTTGGTATAAACTATTCATTTGGCCCAAATTGTTTTATAATTAAGAGTGGAAAAAAGTCAGACGAAACCAAATACTATACTTCGGGGAACATTTCCTTTCAAACATCAATTTCGACTTCAATTCAGTAACAGACTAGCATATCACCAAACAAGCCAAACAAATTGGTTCTGAAAATTCCAGAACTATTGCCTATATTCGTTTTCACAATACGGGGATAATTTGAGAAGCCATTGAGGTCAAAAAACGTCCCGACTGTCCCACTCGACTATCTTCAACATGGAGACCTTTCTTCACCCAAAATCAAATACTTCATCATCCTTCCGTAAATCTAGTTTTGGTTATCAAAAACATTCACGCCAATCTCATCCAATAAACACTTTACCATCGACAGTACAAAAGTACCATATCAGCATAAAAATCATTATTAAGGTTTCAGTGAACGTAGTAGTGACGTGATATGAGGATTTAAAAGACTGAGGCACAAAGAGAGACATCAAAACTCGCCGTAGCACACCAGAATTAACTGATACAATTATTAGTTTTTGTGGTAATTTGTTAAAATTATTGAGATTTCATCTAATGGTATACTTAAAATAGGATGGTAGAAAAACATTTGCCTTGTTAACACAAACAAACATTTCACTTATAATTACCTAGTTTCTGAAAAAATATCTATTTATTTATCAAGCCAGGACATACGAAAATATTTGGCAACATTAGGCACTTTAAAAAGCGTAAATAACCACACTGAGATTAGAAGACTCTATAGCCTTTAATAATGAAGCAACATTTAGACTATTCCTCTGATCCATGCATATGTTAACGGATATTATTATAGTTGTTGACTGTTTGTTGACAATTATTATTAATATTAACTTACTAGACCAGAGCGTCTATCTGCCCGTTTATCTTTACATAGACTGTAAACGATTTGACTTTCTAGTAACATTGAAGTTCGACTAATCAAGATCGAGAAATACGGACACCGCTGCTGTCTACTAAGCACAGTGGAAGAATTGCCCAGTGGAAATGTTCAAACATTTTCCTATAGTTGACAAAATGTATTTTTTCCGCAAATCGCCAGGAAATTTTGACATTCCTGTCAAAATTTCTTGAAGAAAAAGTCAGGACTTCCTTACTGTAAGGAAATGTCATTTCCTTACTGTAAGGAAACGATATTTCCGTACAGTTGTTAGTGTTCTACATACATAAACGTCAAGTTTGACAATTCAACCTAAATACGTTTCCATAGTAACCCAAGTAATTTTATTAGGAATTTCAAAGCACCATTTATTTGGGAATAAAATTATCGCGTTTTTTTTTAATCAATCAATATCTGTCGAATTTTAAACGATTTGCGGAAAAATAGTATGTTTACCTCGTAGGAAAAGCCACATTCCTGTAGCAATCTTCACAGTCGTCCAGGAATGTTAAGCTTTTCCTACCCGGTAAACAATGTACTATTTGTTGATTTATTAACCATTATTTTGCCGAGTACCAAATTACCTTGGTATTTTTTCTCGTTAAGTTGTTAACATTAATAGACTTTTTCAGCATATCACCAGCGCAAGCGCAGCCACCATGTTGAAACCGCAACAATGCAATAGTTTCGTAATGTTTTTATTAAAAATGGCTGCGAACGCAATATTATCCCCACAATTAAATCAATCATTAGAAAAAATCTTTGATGTTGTTTCACTTATTTATGAAGTAAGTCTATTTATGAGTAAGTTCCACGTATTTATGAAGGTCATTCTGATTTAGGATCTATTATATCAAGGATATATATTATGTAAATCGCTTTTCATTACTTGCAGAAATATATTAATTAACAAAAATATTATTATAGCGTATAAGCAATAAGATCATTTAATATTTTAAGGCTAAAAATGACAAATGTATGTACTGAATATTATTTAATACAAATAGAACATTGTAGGAATATTAAAAGATTTAAAACATTTATTTTCTAATTGACGCACTTTTTTTATTTTCGTATTTTTTTTTAATAACTATACTTCCTTTATTATGGATCGATTGTTCGAACGCTAATCAATACTTGATTGTAATCAAATATTTAATTAAAATCAAATACGTCACATTTTGAGGTTAAGTTGACTGATTTATTTTATAATTTTATTATTTTGCGTATTAATTTAAAATAAACCATAATTAAACTCTTTCTGATGTTAATTTCATGTTTTTATTTACAAATCAATAATAATAAGTAATTTTTAATAATTTTGACAGCTGCTGTGACGTATTTAATTGTAATTAAATATTTGATTACAATCAAGTTTTGATTAGCGTTCGAGCAATCGGCCCTTAGTGATACGTTAATGTGATGTTTAAATGACAATTGACAGGAAGGAGTGTAATAGCAAAGAATATACACGCTTCTAGAAGAACAGTTCAAATGGGCGATTTGGTTACGGTTTATACTTCAAAACACTTCTGTCAGTTGGCTTAAAACTATCATAAAAGATGTAGTTAGGGGAAAGTGGGAACGGAGTACGAACGGAGCTATTTATTTACCTTTGCAAGGCCTAAACAAATTTCGATGCTTTTTTGTTTTTTTTTTCACAATAAAATCTTTATTTTTAATAAATTAAATTGTTAAATTTTTAATTTTGAAATTTAAAAAGGTAGGATATTTACAATATTCAAAGCATTAATTTTTTAAATTTTATAACTTTGAATTAAAAATAGATTTGTTCCAACACAACGAAAAACCGCCACATAAATTTTTGTTATACAATTTTTCTGTCCAAAAATTAACGAAATATTTTTTAAAAATTTCAAAATTTTTCAACCAAAAATTTAATTTTCTCAGGACTTTTCATTAAACTTTTTAGACAAATTTCCACTTACTCTTGTACGATGTTTACCGGCAAAATAAGGTTTTAAAATAAATATCAAATAATGCATGCGACTATATTCTTTGTCAGTGAACGAGATAGGTAAAGTGAGAAAAGATTCGTCTGCTGACAAGATGTACTTAAGAGCGTAGGCGCAAAATTTCGGGCCAATGCTTTTTAAATGCATTCATTTTTTTCGAATCCTGAGAAAACTAACAAATATTTTTGAAAAATTTAAACGCAGAACGAAAGATTACATTATTACCGAGGGCCGAAAGTCCCTTGGAATAAACAAAAAGTTTTTTTGAATGAGATATTTGAAATTAAAAATCACAATAAATTTTCTCTTTTTTTTTTCACCCCTGTAACTTATTAAAATAAACATTATAGAAGTTTTGAGGGACTTTCGGCTCTCGGTAATAATGTATTCTTTCATTCTGCGTTTAAATTTTTCAAAAATATTTATTAGTTTTCTCAGGATTCGACGAAAATTAATGCATTTAAAAAGCATTGGGCTGGGAAATTTTGCGCCTACGCTCTTAAGAATACACTCTTGAATGGAAGTAGGTATATTTAGTATATAATAAAATTTTAAAAGCATCTGAAAAACAATAATACTTGAACTAAAAATGTTTGGAATATAAATAGTTTGCAAACAGAAATAGTTATTTTAAAATTATTTTCTTCTGAGAAATATGAAATTAAGCGAAATGTACAAATTAAATATATTCTGCAGAAAAACCAGTGTTATGTTTTACATTTTATATTATATTATATTAAAAACAAGGAAGAAGAAATTATTAAATATAGAAACTTTGGAAATATTTAATTCCGGTGATTGTGACTTTATTGATTGAATTAATTTTATTTATAGTTAATAAGAAGAGAGTTTTAATTATATTATTTGTAGATTTGTACATATTTAAATTAAAAATTTGAATCATAATATTTTTTCTAAAAGGATTCATTTATTAAAAGTTAAAATATTATTATTTTCTTAAAAAATGTTATAAAACGCAAAAATTTAATCCTATTCTACGGCCACGCGGCATCTACATAAAAATATCTGTTGCATTTGTTGCCCCACTCTTTCATATTTTAAAAGCAATAATAGCGCTGACATGACCGCTCCCTATTGGTACTAAAATCTCGATCCACCCTCTCATTCTTTTTCATAACGTGCGATCATCTTTTGCCGACTTTCAAAAATAACAGTGAAAGATTATTCTATAAGCGTCTATATTCTTTGGTAATAGATTCGATATGGCGAAGAAAAGCTTATTTAAATTACCGGTCATAAATGAAAAGTGAAAATAACACTTTTGTATAGCGATTGGCAGCTTCATCCGATGTTTGATAAAAAATAGTTGTCCGATGTGCAAAACGCAAAAAAAATAAATCCAACTGTGACTGAGAGACCAAATAACACAAATTCTTCTTAATTATTCGCGAATTATGTGCCCTTGCTGTTATATTTTTGTTTTGAAAATCGCATGGAAGAGGCTTAATCTAAAGGTTGCTTACACACTAAAACCTCTTGATACATTCTAGAAATAGTTAATAACTTTTTTCTTGATCTAAAATCCACAACCCTAACAATTTTTTAATTAGAAATGTGCTACTTCGCTGTATTTTGAAAATAGTACGTAATAAGTGCAGTAATATAAAACATATATATTTGCATATATGAAAATAGTTTCAAGTTTTCTTTGGCATCTATTTATTTAGTATTCTCCAATCAAAGCCAGTAGACATTTCTTGTAATCGCCGGAAGCTTCTCCCTAGAAAAAATAGAGATTGTTAATAAAATGCAACTTTGACCCTATTATGTATCACAGATAACACACACACATACAGAGGACAAAAAGAAATAAAAGGGTATAATTGACATTTTTGTATATATTAAGAAAACTGCATCGCTGAACTGGAAATCTTTCATTCTATTTGGAGGTAAAAAGAGATCTAAGCGATAAGTTTAACAGGTGCTGCTTCCTAGTGGCAAGTTACTTAGCCTCCAAGCCAACTATAAGTAGGGCTTGGAAGAGAACAGATACAAATGCACTTGACCTCTGTTTCACTAGATTAGACTGTTAGTTGAGTTTGTTATCAAACTCAACTAACAGTGATATAGCTCCAAGTAATACTTTAATGTAAACTGCTGCGTTTTACGTTACTATAAACTACAGTGTTTTTAAAAAGAATTCGATTTGTTTCTTTGCGGAATACGGAGCCAGTAATAGATGATTTACCTGCTAATGCGTTTGTACTACCAAAGCTGACTAGAAAGAAAAGAATTCGGAGGCCAGATAAGTGAAAATAAAACAGATCTAAAATAGCAAGAAATTCAGTTGAAGCTTACATGTACAAAAACACAATTCTTATTACGCTAAAAAGTTACGAGAACTTGAAAATCATCGTTGTTGGAATAACTGTACCAATATTATTTCACAAGAACAAAGACTTTCAATTATTGTTAAAGAGTATTGAGCATTGGGCACTCGAATCTCCCAAACACCTTTTCTGACTGGATCCATACAGACTAAGCCTATAAAAGGTAAAACTAAATGCAGTTAGCAATAGAGAAGTGTCATGTGTTTATAATCTGAAAAGTTTTAGAGTACGTAAACATTTTATAATGAAACATTTTTAAATTCTTTCGTATGTATTGAAATCACTCCGTGTGTATTAAAACACCGAAGTATATTTTCAATCTTTTTTGCGTTGCCGAGAATTGATAATAAACACATTTTAAGTTTGTTTATGTTCAATATTTCCTCGGTATTATTTGATCGAGAGCCACTTTAGGATATTTTGCGTCGTCAAACAAACAAAATTATCCTGTTGATATGTTTTGTTTATAACAAGTTGGGCGAATGAATTTTAAAGGCAATTACATCTTACATCACTCTCGGTAAGGCTGGCCGCTGTTAAAGGCGTGTTTAGTTTTATTGGAGTCCGGATTTCTCTTCAAATTCGTAATCTTTTCGTTTTCCATGTTTTGTTATGGAAATGTAGTATAAAGTGACAATAACAGTTAAGTGTGTATTATTGAGCAGTTAATAGTTACAGATGAAGTGAGGTTTAAAAGATTAGTCATTGAAAGCAGACGTCGCTGTGAGTTTTTTGAGTGAACCGGCAAATTGGTTGGAAAATAGTGAATTATACTAAATGTAATGTGTCAGTTTTGAAAGAGTAATCATTGTTTATATGTTTTTAAGTATCTAAGAGATTTGAACCCCATGTTGCCATTGTGTCCAGTTATACCTGCTCCAGTTTTTTAAGAAGTCGAGTCTAAATAGTGCATCTCAGTAAACAACTTCCAGCCTCATTTTCAGTTTGAAAACATTTTTCGCAGTTTGGAGATTAATGTGTTCGTGTGACAGAGAGTTTAAGTCCATTTCCAACTTCAGAAATTTAAAGTAAAGATAATATTTAGTGAAACCCACGTATTATTTTTGTTTGTAATTTTAAAGTGAAAATAGACATTTTTCTAATATTAATTGCTTTCATACAAGTTAAGAAATTGTAATAATTAAAATTGTAGATCTTAAGGTGTGGCCTAGGGCCTGGCTGGCATATTAATTGTTCTCAAGTTTTAAGATTTAGTATTGACATATGACAGTTAGCAATATTTTTGACATTTGGTAAATCATATTTGAAATTTTGTTTTTTTTTAAAGGTTAACCTCTATGCATAGTTTCACTTAAAAAGATATTTCTTTATTTGTAATAATTTATTTCTGCTACAAATTGTCGCCCATTAACAATTATAAGTTTTGTAGTATCTCCAACTTCTAGAGTTTGAAACTGATAGGACATAGTAAGTGTCTCTCATTGTTATGTTGTATTTACTATTATAACTATTAATATAGTATTTTTATACTATTTACTTTTGATGTTTGTGGTGAGACAGCAACAGATATTTAATTTTTGTCCTAAATCATTTTGTTTATTTCTTTAAAAAAAGAGGTTAGTCTTTTGGGTATATTTATTTTTTCGTAAATGGGTATATTTATTTAAAAAACCCTTAAAAGAGCTACATCAAAAAAACAAACGTTTTCGGACTAAACACTCCATCATCAGGTTTAAAATTGCTAGGTTAAAATGCCTGAGCCACCAAAATACTAGGGTAAAAACCCTTTAAATTACATGTAGTTATTAAAGATTGTACATATTGTTGTTATTAAAATTTGATGTTAAATATTATTGACTTCAGGTAACATGCTTGAAGTGAGTTCCAGTGTCCGGAGAGTAAACCTCTTCAAACGGACTACAGCTGGTAACTAAATAAATATACCCATTTTTTAAATAAATATACCCATTTACGAAGACTAACCTGTTTTTGTGAAACGTGGTATACAGCCAGCTACAGGAATTGTTTTCCTTGTGGATTTTCTTAAAAAAAGTTTATAACCTCTTTTGTGTTTTTAGGAGGGAAGAACCTTTTCTTTTATCCAGCAGGAAGATTCTTCAAGGCGGCGTCCATTTTAAATGTGAAAGCTTTTACAGGAATATTTTTAATACTTAGTTCAACCTTAGTTTCAAAAGGCCAAGCACAGACATCTGTGATTAATGGGAAAAATTTCAGATAAAAATAAATCATGATTTGGCAGAAATAAACTTAAGCTCAGACAGAAAAAATCCTTTTACTTGCGTAAGGCGGAAGCCGTAAGAACAGCAAAAGATGAGTTACGACCTAAAGGATGCTAGCAAAGATGCGATCCAACTTACAAAAAACTATGCCAACTCCTAATATGTCATCTTTGAAAGCATATACTTAGGGCGTATAACTTAGTAGGTCATAACATTCAGACTGGAACGACCCATTTCTTTATGTGACCCGAAGGCCAGGCGTCACGTGGATGTCAGGATATATCATCTTGTCTCCTAAAATATATGAGAAGCCTTCCCTCATATGTAAAACATATAACTGCATTAGCGACAACTGTGGAGGTCAAAATAAGAGTCATCTGACAGTCAAATTTTGGCTTTACATTGTCAGAAACACTAATATTCAAACAGTAGATCATCGCTTTTTTATAAGTGGTCATTTTTATAAGTGTGACCAAAACTGTGGTTCAATAGAGTTAAAAAAAATAAACAAATAGAACCTTTATGTACCTCAACATTGGATGGAGCTGATAACTTCTACAAGTGAAAGTTCTTTACAGTACAGATGGAAAATGACGATTTTTTAGACTTTCAAACACTTATGCCATACTTCAAGACGAGCGTAAATGGAATACAGAGCATGCAATAGTTGCATTTTCAACAGGATAAACTTTTAACCTTGTTTTATAATAAAACAGCTGGATGTATCATAGAAGATTTTAGAGAGCTACATATGAAACCCATTCGAGCTGACAAAAACTTTGCGAGTACCGATTGACAAAAGGCATCATTAAGCAAGCTAAATATTCAAATTTTCAACAGTTACTCAACTACGTACCTCCAATTTACCATGAGTTTTTGATAAATCTGCGACATGATGGTCAACAACGACGCCGATGTCGATGAATCAAAGTTAATTATATATTACTTTTATGGTGAAGAATAAATTTATACAAAACCTTTATGATCTTTTTACATTTTTTACCTTTATGTTGCATTTATTAGAAGTAAAAGGATACGAGTGCTACTTAGCAACATAAAAATAGCTCCATAATGACAAAATCCATAAAATTATTATTATGAATCTTCTCAATTATTCGTGGTACAAATTAACTCATTCACTTTGATTATTCAATAACATTCCTTTAATACTATACCTGTATAGCTTCTGCAAGAGATTCGCCATATTTGGCTTGATAAGCACTTTTAATATCCTCCATATCAACTTCACTTCTTGTCACAACGGTGCGTATTAGCTTTTGATCATCAGTACCAGCACCCTTAACTGCATGATGGATTTGTCTAGCAAAGAATGTCGGTTGATGTTTTACAGCACGAACAATTGCCAAGAATCCTTCTTCGGAATCGCCAGAAAATTCTCCCTTGATGGCTTCTTCAATATCATGACCTAAAAAAGCCAATAAATAAAGTCAAATATTTCCATAACGAAAAACTTGAAGCCACAAATAGATAAACTTAGAACAAAAGTCACAATCTTGGTTAGACTGATAAGTTTCCTACTAAATAATATTCAAAGAAGAATGTGTGTTAGGAATACTAAAGAAACTTTGATATAGATATACTTGTATATATTAAATAAAATTAACAATAATATTTATAGGCTGAACAAACGGATGGCAAACAATACAGATAATAATAACTCACCCGATAATTTCTCGTACTCGTGGAAGATAAGTCCCAGCTGGGCGTAGTTTCTTTGGCACAAAATAGCATTGAATGCAGATTCATCAGTGCCTAGACGCAATTCACCTGCAGTTAGCAAGGCCTGAGCGTCGGCTGCAGCTGAATTATGATCCACCATCATGCTTTCGTCACGATTGGCTGTACACAAAGACACCATCATCCTTCTGAATGTTCCAGAAGTGTCGCCCAATAGGTCCTCCTCCAGAGGGCGATAGTATACTAAAAAATAAAAAAAAGTATGTTAAATATAAGTGTGGTCTATTATCTGTTACATATATATTATCGTATCATCAAGCCATAGTCCTCTACTGTTGAACAGATGTCTCCTCGAAAACTTACATTCAGATCTATCTTGCACGGTTGAAATCCAGTTGGTACAGATCCTCTTTATGTCAAAGTCCATTTTGTTGTTGCTGTTACCGGGTTTCGTCTATCCGCACTCGGTCTACAAGATTTTTTTGGCCCATCTATTATCTTTCACTCTAGCGATGCATCCTGACTACTTGCATTTAATTTTAGCTATATGTTTTATAATGTCCTCTACACCACTTCTTTTACGAATTTCTTCGTTTCAAACCCTATCTCTCAACGTTATATCCAACAATGCCATGTCGGATAGGCCACAACTGACGAAGTAAGTCTATAAACGTTTATCACATATAAAGTTTTTTCAACCATAAACTTGGAGTTTTTTATCCAAGTGAATTAATTTTCCTTTTTTATAAAAAACGTTTCTTGGCTTATTTCAGATGCCCCTGAAGATGATCTATTGATCGAAAGTACTTGGGCAAGATTAAATTAATCACCGTGTTCGATAGTTGCCTTGTATACCCTCAAAGTTTATCACCTATTTGTTTGTTCAACTTATCTACATCGTTTGATGTCATGCAGTATTCAAGGGTGTTCTTAATGTAGTCTACAAATGCTATTTCGTCTTGTCGGAGTGACCAGTGAAAGTATTTTTTTATTATATGGCTTCTATCTCTATCTAAATGGTTTCATATCTCAATGGTAGCTTTAACCATCCAAAGGTCGGTGATTGTTAAGAATCTATTAAGAACAGTCACAACTTTAAATATGTATTTTTTATTTGTAAAAATTTCATTGCGGGTAGAAGAGAGGTGGTACACAAAAAGACATTCTATTTTTTTTTTAATTTACCGCCAAGTTTCAATTCTGGAACTAACATTATCTCAGAAATGTCATTTTACAGCGCCAGTTAAAATACCACCATTTCATTTGTGACCTCGTAAAAGTTACAGTGGTAAACTGTTTAATTAAGGTAAGAAGTTACTTTTTATATGGCTTTTTTGACTTATTATTAGAACTAATTGTTGATTTGTGTCAATTTGCCTAATTGTATGCCTGAAAACAATTATGCTGTACGACGTGTGTTTTCAGAAGCTACAGATCAACAACCATTCAAGCATGAAAAGTAGCATATGATATGGCAATTAAAAACAATATTCCAGTTCCAGCGAATTGGATCAAAGATAAAATAGCTGGACTCAACAATGATTCCGTTCATTTTTTTAAATAGGTGTGGGAACCTCAGTATACGTCAACCAGAGGATTGAAGTTTAACAACACTAACATCATTCAGCTGTGTCTAATATCAGAATATATAACCTTGATGAGACTAGTACAACAACAATGCAGAAACCTAAGGAAGTCATGGCGAAGAAAGGTGTAAAACAGCTGAATATTTGTACTAGCCGTGAAAGGGGTATTCTGATTACTACATATGTAATTGTATATGCGAATGGTACGTTTTTAGCTCCTGTTATGGTTTCGTAACATATCAAGTTGTTCAACTGGCAAAGGATAATGATGAAATCATTTTCTCTCCCTTTAAAGCGTATTACAATGCCGCTATAGCCTCTATGGTCAGGTTGCTGAACCATCCGGGTAAACCTATTTTAATTTACCAGATAGCACAAAGTGTAGGAGAGGCACATATTAAAGCATTAACACCTACTAATATTCTGTCAGGTTTTAATAAAACGGGAATTTTTCCCCTTAATAGAGACATTTTTTCTTAAGCTGACTTCATTCGAAGTTCTGTGACTGATAGACCAAATGAAACTGAACAGCCAAATCCACAACCAAAGTCGACAGAAATGTCTAGTGTGCTTTCTAATCAAGTTATATCATCCTAATCGAAGACAAAAGAGAAAAGGTGTGAAGGCAAGGAAAACAAAAAAGAGTGTAATTTTAACTAACATACCTGACTTGGATCAGTTAAAACTGCAAGCAACAACCAAAAAAATGACTCCTCAGAATAGTAAACGAATTAAGGTCAATTTAAATAAGGTAAGCGGCTCAGCACCAAAGCAGAAAAAAAAATAAACGAAGTGATAGCACTTCATCCGAGGAGAGTGAAGAAATCAATTACGATGATTCTTCTGACGATGAATGTGAAAATTTACAGTTTATTTTAAACACTTTCTGACTTATTGCTAAACTTAAAATCTACCTAACGTCGTTGTCGTTGGAGGGGGTTGAAACTTCATCGTTATTATTTGGAGTCGCAATATCCTATACAGCTACGTAGTTACTTCAATCTATCAATGTTGACATTTATTTTGTTAATCATAGTATGGCGCCACATTTTCTATTATTCTTATATTTTATTATAATTTTTATGTTTTCGATGGTCTTGTTGCTTGGTTTATTTGCTTAGTTCTATGCAATATTCGTTGCACAATAAAATTTATAACCATATTATTTATTATCATGCGACAAATATTGCGTTTTGTATTTATTGCAGAGATAATATATGATCCAAAGTAAATATCAAATATCTCAAATTTATTACATATTTATAATTCAGAGATTAATTTGTGCAAGATAAATATTTATTATTTGAGCTTTAGAAATTATTAAAAATATAAAAATACACTTATGGCAATATATAATAATACTGTCACTTCTGGAGGAAAGGCTGAACGTAGTTTTCACATGTATCACTTCTGAAGGAGACCAAAAAATATTGCCAAAAACTAGTAATGGTAAAGAAAAATATCTGCTTATAACTATAATACTAACAAAGTAGCAGGACGCAAAGTAAAAATATATTGTGGTATATTCAATATTAAATATACATTCATTTGAAGTTCGCTATTGGCATTTAAATACATTAATTTTGCTACTTTATTGACACTAAGGCGTGATCCTTTCTGATATCAATAATTGCCCTGATTTGGAGAAGATACTTTAACAAGGGACAGATGTTGCAACCGTGCCAAATATTTCTGTCACCTCTTTAGAAAGATGTGGGTAATTGTAAGAATGATCACTCCACCATTGTAGTGTATCTTCATTTCTGCCAAAGAGATCTTCCTCTAAGTATTGCTGGACCTTAATTCTGGCCCTAGATGTGACAGATACTATATCGATGAAAAGGTAGCATTTTTTTTTCAAAATGGCTCCATACAGAAGACTGACCTGCAGAACAATTTTCTGTGTTGTTGTCTGTGGAAGTAAAATTGCTTTGTTTCTGTAGATTAGGAAATTTTTTGAGTTACCAATTTAATAACTAATTCCACATTTGTGTCGTTCATTGTAAAAGTGGTGTAACTCCATATTTTGTTATTTACTGTTTTATTGTATCATTCAACCACGTTTAGTATAATCTTTCAATATAAAAGCGAATCATCTCCAAAACTTACTCCTTCAACATGTAGATGGGGTTACTAGTTTTGTTCGAGAGCTTAAACTGTAAATATGTCATTATAAAAGTGAAGTAAATCCCAAGTCGCAATAATAATGAAGTAAGTCCGGAGATACTTCACTTTTATTGTGGCAAAATTGCAAGAGGTTATGTTACATATTGTATCATTTCGTTGATTAATTTATGTTTACTGTTTCAAAACGAATTATAATAGCATATTCTGATGGATACAGATGATTTTAGTAATTCTGATTCCGAATATCACCCTTCAAATGAAGAAAATAATAGTACTTCCGGTAAGTTTCGTTGTTGTTCATTTAGTTATTTTTATAACCTTAAAATATAAGTTATTAATAAGAATTAGGCAATCCATTGACCTGTTAAACATTGTATTTGGTTGGCACACAAAACCAACAAAACTGTCCGTAACTTTATCTACTTGTTTTTGTTAATGTTTTTTAGTGTTTTAAAGATATGTTTTATTCATTGTTTGAAAAGCAACACTAAACAAATATTATTTTGCTTGTTTTTGTCCAACATCTGGTGCTTCTAATAATAATTTCCTTAGCATTTGGTTTAAGCATATTATTGAACTACATACAATAAAAATTCCAAAAATGAAGCGAATAATATTCATACAGGATAAATAACGTATAGTTATTAGGAAAATCACAAAAATAACCTTTGTTTGCCAACCAGAGGTCACGTGGTCTGGATTGCCTAATACGGAACTATTTTGTTTATTTTTTGAGTTTTATAACTAACTATACTTGCTCAACCTTTTAAATGTGTTGTCTCCTTGTTTTAGGTACAGATTCAAGTCATGACGAAAATATAAATGATAATAATGACCAGCAAAATCTTCAAGCAGACCCTGTACCAGCTAAGGCTAGAAAAAGATCACTCAATAAAGAAAATTGGGCAGTCAACAAAAGAAAAATGTTAAGAAATAGCGGTAAGGAGTATTTAACTAAAAGAGGTATAATAAAAAATCAGAAAAAATTTGAAAATATTGATTGTGGATGTCCAAAGAAATGTTTAACGCTGTTGACAGAGGATGAAAGAAAAGAAATATTTGACTCTTTTTGGAATTTAAAAAATTATGATCTTCAAAATTCATATCTGTATGCATTGGTACAAAAATCAGCAGTCAAAAGAAAACGTCCACTAAATAGTTCACGAGCAGGAAAAAATTTTCATTTCAAATATTTTGTTAAGTCAAGTAATGAAACCCGATCTGTGTGTAAGAAATATTTTTTAAAAACATTTCAAATCAGTGATGGCAGACTGTATCGTTGCCTTTCAAAGGATGATGTGTTCCAATGTACTGATAAACGAGGCACAACAAGTTCCAGAAAACTTGATGATTCTGACATTGTAGCTCACATCGAAAGTTTTCCTTCCTATCAAAGCCATTACACGAGGAAAAATAACCCCTGTAGAAAGTATTTAAATCCAGGACTAACAATACGAAAAATGTATGATCTTTACAAAGAAAAATGTGATATTAATATGACAGAACCTAAGAAATTAAAATATTATAATA